ATGGGAGCCAGCCAAGATTTAAGAAAGACATGAAAATAGATCTAGAGAAGATGATTCAAAGAAAATGCTGCCCTGGACGGAAGTTACCTGAATGGTGTTACAGACCATGGTGCTCACTAACCTCGCTGGCAGAGTGGGATCTGCTGACAGCATGACATGGGAACACAACCAATGCAGCAGAAGTCCAAAACATTACACAAGACAGCTGTGACTCAAGGACCGGAACATTGAAAAAGGATCTGAACTCAGGAGCGTAACATGAAAAATAGGAATTTCTGCACAAAATTCAGGATTTACCAATAAGGAATTACAAAGGAGGAGGCAGACTGTCGTGCTTGGCAGGATTGCAGAACTAGCAACAGAGCTCTGAAAAAGGCAAAAAGTGATCCTATGATACCGCTCTGGGTGTTCCTAAAGATAATGGCTAAGGCCACTGCAGGACCTCCATTGGAAATGCCTGGACAGCTGTGACCACATCACACAACTTCAGCTGGAGCAGGTGCAGAGGGCAGTCTGCAGAATGGCACAGGGATGGCTTCAGCACTGGAGCACAAAGCTGTATGATGTGACTGAGCCAGGCACTGTCTGAGAGCAGCTGTGTGCAGATGTGCACACGTGTGCATGAGACTGTGCACAGTGAGGTGGCAGAAGTCAGGAACTCCTCCAGTGGAAGCAGCATGGCTGCAAGCCACGTCCGAGCAAGGAAGCCACGACATCAATATTTAGAGACAAATGCCTGCTCCAGCAGTGGCAGGAGGGAGTCTTAATGACCCAGCATTAGTGTTTCCAAGAAGAGGTAACTGAGGCAACCCTGAATACACAGAAGATCTGTTCTGGCAGATCTACGTTTCCACTCTAGGTAGTTCTCACTGACAGAGCAGCCTTCAGACCGGAACGCTTCTGCTCCAGCAAACCGCTCAGCTCCCATGGACACAGCAGCCCAGGTTTAAAATTGCTGCAAAAGAGTGTTCTGAGGAAACCACGCAGTGAGGAGATGCATAAGATGCATAGCACTGGACGTGCAGCGTGAGCCCTGGTACAGCAACCACAGTGTCCCACGGAATTAACAGTCAACACTTCCCTGTTTTCTCTAAGTTGGGTCTCTGGTGACATAAGTGCTGCAGCCATGGTGCAGGCCTTGGGCCACACTACTGCAATTGCAATAACAGTTTATTGGTTTATAAGTTAACTTTCCTACTTTTCTTTGTTTATTTCTTTTGCTGGGAGATAAGTCAACAGGCCAAAGCGATTGTGTTGTTTATTATGCAATTGTTTGTCAGTTAATATTTGTGTTCCAGCGAGGCAAGGACCAGATAACAGCCCGCGCAGTTCTGCTCTCCATTGCAGACCTAGGGCTGTGCTCCACTCGCTGCCATACGCCCCTGGCTGCTGTCCCGCACGACACACAAACGACCACAAACGACCACAGGCCTTCAGGTTGAGCTCTGCTTCTTCTGGCTCCAACTTCTCCCACTGCAACATGAGAATAATGGTGGCAATTTCTTCTGGCAGCAGCCAGAACTAAAAGGATTAATCTGTTACATCTCTGTAAAAGTACTTCAATAATTAAGAGGAGCAACTGCTGAACAAGATTAGCAACAGACTAGAACAAAATATAACAAGCAACAGGGGCCTCTGCAGAAGCACTGCAGTGCCACACCTCCCGTGGCTGCGCAGCATCCCGCAGCGCTCCTGCCCCTTTACCCCACTGCTGACATGCAGAGGGCATCCGATGCTGATGTCTCCTTTACATTCTGCTCTGCCCTCCACCATTACCACTGCAGCTCTTCTCCATTTGTCACCGAGGCCAGTTTGGCGCTGCTTTTTGCTGGACACCTCACTGATTCAAGCTGAAGGAAGGAAGCACTGCAGGAGTGCTTTACTGGTGCTCAGGTCCCAAGGGCTCCCCAACTGGGTTCCCGGCCCCCTGGATGGGCACTTGCTGCAGGACACTGGGATGTGGTAAGGCCATGCAGGCATGAGGGGCGGCAGGGGCAGCGTGCACAGATCAGGCGGCAGGTCAATGCCTGAGCAGCAGCTGGCAGAATGATGTGATTCACCAAGGGCAGTACGGATGCAGGGCAACGCACAGAGCCCATCCTACCGGCACTGCCCACCTGAGCCCTGTCCTTAACACATCATGTTGGCGCTTCGTCCTGCACACTGCCCCTATCTGCCCCCCCACAGAGGGCCCTGTGCTTTGCAGACAGTTCCAAGCCCTCAGGAGCAGCCCCAGCAGCAGCACTGCCCTCCCGCAGGGCTGGGCACAGCCTGCAGCCCCAAGCAGCCATGCATACAAACTGCACGCTGCTGAGTATATTTAAAACATGACCTGCAATATGACCTAAATTTTGCTTCTGCAAAATGGAAATCGTAGCTCTGAGCGTCTTCCTCGGGCATCACAGTTGCTTTGTTGCCTGCTCTATGTAGGACACTCCTACTTCTACTCCTACTTTCTACTCCTCCCAGGTTTGGGCAAACAAATGGAATACTAAGGGAATGGTGCACCAAAGGGCAATGCCATGGCTGAACAGGAAGAAACTTGTTTGGCACTTGTTTGGCAGCAAACAATTGTAGGAGCTCCTTGCAAGGTCTGTATGGATGCAAGAAGGGCCATTACATCCCACCTGTGCCAGTCCCATAAAAAGAGAAAAGCAGAACAGGAAGGATCCATCCTAAACGCCTTACGTGCTTCAAGTTTTCAGATATGGAACAGAAGGACCACAATCCCCATGTTCTCTCCTCTTCACTGAATATGTGCAAGAAAATGAAGTGCTTTTGCACAGAGTTAATTCCATCAGCTTCCCAGAGGAATAGCCTGCAGGACTGCTCTGCAGGAAGGCCTGTACCTGATGGTACAGCACAGCAAGGCACGATCAGGTTCTCCTCTCCCCACTGCTGAGTGTGCTGGGAGAACCAGCACCGCTCATTCCCTCACACCTGCATCTCTGCAGCCCGGGGAAGGAGCAGGTGTTAAGGAGAGCCCAACAGTGGTTTAGCAGGAGCTGCACCTCTGGGAATGGATTCGATGTCAAGTGTCAGCAAGTAAATTGCTATTGGCTTCTCAATAAGCAGCAGTAGTGAGCTAAGTGTTTCCCTGTGTTGTGCAGGCTCTCTCCGACTCAATACAGTGGTATTGACAGCACAATCACAGAGTAATCCAGGCTCCACTAATATCTCAGCACTTCCTCATTGAAAATACACTTTCCACTTGGACATCAGCCCATTAGCACAGGCTGAGCCATAAGCGTCTCCCCCAGCCCATGAGGATGTGCAGCACATGGCCCCAGCTGCTGCCCGGAGCGCAGCCGAGATCACAGAGAAGGGCCTCTTGTTCCAATGAGAAGTCACCAATGGAAACAGGATGAAAGGTAATCAAAAAGTCTTTACAACTCAAATCTCTGTAGATTCTGAAAAATTGGTATTTCCTTGCTAGACAACAGAAGTTCATTCAGGGAATTAACTCTCCTCTTGCCCCTTACCCTCCACCTGTCATCCTTCCTCACTATCTTATCTCTAAACTCAGACCATAGATTCCTCCAGGCAGAAGCCTCTCCTTTCATCCACTGAAAGCCAGAGACCTGCTCCCACACCACGGAAATCCCGACATTCGGCTCCCACCTGCAGGGCACAGTAATGCTCCTCTGCTGGCAGAGACACCACGTGAGGGATGTGATGCTCTAAGTCCTTTGGATGCCTTCACCTGGAGAAAGACCCTCGTGCTCTCCCACAGCTGCTGTCACACCACAGAGCATGCATTATCCCTATAACAGCTGCACTAGAGATCTAAGTAACGCCCAGGAAGGTTCCCCAGGAAGCTCTCAGCACATTCTGCACTAGCAGCCACTGCCCTGCATGGGGACGTCCCAGTGCCTTTGCTGGGGAACAAGAACCTTCACATCGCTTTGAGCCACGGTACTAAAAATCACCTAAGTTATTTGGGTATGGAGAAGAGAGAGAGAGGAAAATATGTGAAGAACATCAGGCCAAGTTAAACACGTGTATGTCATGAACATGCAAGAGATCTTAACTGTTTGAGCTGCATGCTTCTTGGTTAACTTATTACTAACTTCCCAGTTACTTCAGCAATGCAGACCACCTTTAACTAAATAGCAGGAACGACAGTGCCCACTTCCAAAAACCAACAACACAAAGATGAGAGCAGGAAACGAAAAGCAGGAGAACTGCCTGCAGAGGGGCCCTCTCCGGCTGTGCCAATGGCCCCAGGAGCTGTGGGCAGCATCAGCATGCAGAGCCCAGGGCAGCAGCACACGCAGCGCTCACCGCTCGCAGTGCGGCTGGCGCAGGCACGCGGCCCCGCGTTCTCCACATTCAGAAGTTGCATTCATGTGGAAAGCTGGTGCCCCACAGCAAACAGCAAAGAGAGCGGCCTGCAGAATGGGCTGATACATTCGCTTCTGCTTTAATCTATTTTGGTAACAATAACAGTGAACCCAGTAGGATGGGCCACGGGGAAGGCCAGCACAACAGCACAGCCACTGCCTCCCACTGCCCCACATAGCCTCCCCTGGGGACCCCCCAGGGACTTCACAACCACCACTGCTGTAAAAACCAGGTTAATGCAAGTGTGCCTTCCTGTTCTGCAGCGCATTCTGAGGTGCTCGGCACGGTGCCAGACCTTTAACCCAAACGATTCCCTGCTCCCCTGTGAGGAGCATCTTCCATCTCACCAAGCCTGCCGAGCATCAGCACTGCAGGCGAGCTCCAAGTCACAGCACTCTGCACTTGGAGCTTCCGCTGCTGGCAGGAAGGCTGTGCTGTTTGCAACCCAACAGGGAGCAGATTTCTGGCGAGGAAACGGTTAATGCTGCTCCAGACAGCGATCTGATAAATGGCTCTGCAGAAAGCAGGTTCTCTCACTTTGAGATATGATGTCACTAACCTTTATTGATCCACAATCAGAGAACTTTGCTTATCTCTCTCCTGTGATATGCTGCCCTCCTGTACTCAACTAGTGTTTAATACACTGCTGGGCATCTTGCACTCTTTACAGCTCACACCACCCCTCCACCAGGGACAGGATTTTACGGCTGTGCCAGCCTGGCCAACCTGTGGGATGAGGAACCACGTGCACAGTGAGCCCCAACCTACTGCAGCCAGGGCCAGGAGCACAGTCCTCAGCCAGCACCCAAGGGAGCACCATGCCCTCAGAAGGTGCTGCTCCTGCCTTTTGCCCTGCATGGCAGCACAGCATTTACCACAGGCCTGCATGCACCAGGCCCAGTGTTTTGCTGCATACATACGAGCAGCTCCTGGAGAACAGCTGAACAGTCAGGTGGCAAAACCTGTAAGTGGAACAATTACATCAGCCATGTGCAGTGATGGGTGGAGAGGAGCCTCGGAGATCCCCGCAGCGTGGGGGCATGTACAGCATGTTCCTGCAAGGTAACACACAAATGTCTATGAGCTACTGATGCGTGCTTTTGGTTTTTATTCTTCCAGGAGAAAAGTCTGCGCCTCAGTGGGGATGAACCAATGAAAACCCCACACAACCAGAGCTGTGCAGGACAGCAAAGAGACACTGAGCCACCACCGCAAGCGGTGGGAGACTGGGAACCCCGAGAGGGTGAGCAGAAAGCAAAGAGATGGACCAGACGAAGACAGAGGTATTTAAATGCAGCAAGGGGTACGAAGAAGTGCATCGGCTGCTCCTACCCACAGCACCCAAAGCAAAGCAACGCCGCCCACATTCGCGATGCGGTGCCACCAGCCGTTGCCGAATGCAAGAGATGGCACAGGCGGATGCGAGATGCAGTGAAACGCTCCAAGGTTTGCTTTGAAGGTTACATGAACCGTTTGTTTCGGTGGATAATTGCTTGAGTAAAGCTTTAGAAAAGAAGTGACGGATTAATACGTTTTCCAATAAGCTATGACTTATTTTATTCTTTACTCATCACCGCCCCCCCGAAGAACCCAACCATTTTGTATTGATGCAGTGCGGGTTTCAGGTCAGGAGTCGGGGCATGTGAGGAAGCAGTGCACTGGCACAGGACAGGCAGCTGTGCTCTGAGCAAAAGCATTCCTTTGGTACTGCCAGAGTTCTGCTCTAGGCCTTTATTTTGGGGATTATAAATAAACTGCTACACAGACAAGTCAGAAAAGAAGAAAATTAGGAAGAAATATCTACTTTGCACAGTCAAATTACCACAAATTACTGTTCTGATCCAGTCTGGTGATTCTTATAGATTCAGACACGCACTGAACTTTCTTTTTTTAATTAAAGGTCTCTTTTGAACTACATGCTTCTTAAAATAGTAAATTACACCCTTCTTCAATTCATGAAAATAAATTAGGAATGCTGTCCGAATTACCAACCTGGACAGAAAGCACAGAAATCCCAAACTTAGATTTCCTGCAAGTCAAGAGACATTTGGATTAGGAGTTTTGGGCTGTGACTTGTTAATACTCCTGCTCAGTCGTTAAGTTCTCACACAGAACTCCCAGCATTTCAGGATTCAAAGCAGCAGCAGCAGCTGCTGAATCACACTCTGTTACTTCAACAGCTGAAATCAACACAGACCAACCAGAAAAATGCTTTGGCAGACAGTGATCCTAAAAGCAAACCCCAATAAACACAGAGATGCTATTAATCAATGCTCTTCATCCCTGTGCCACCTCTCCCTGTCAGCCACGCAATATTTACGACAAAAGTCACCCTGGGTAACTCCTCTGCTTCACAGAGAGGTGCAGGAAGCAGTTACCAGCCTTCATGAACAGAAACACACAGAAAAACGTGCTGAATTCCCAGCCAGTTACTGGCTTACAAAGAGCGAGGACTGATCTGCCACCCACAGGTGCTCACGAAGCACCTTCCCCAGCAGCACAGCATGGCATGCAGGCAGAAGCTCCTGCAGACCAGACGCTGTGCCATGGGGCACGGGTAGCCTGGGCTCCAGTCACAACCATCCCAGGGCCAAGCCAGCCTTGGCACCCTGCACAGCATTGGCTCCCACATGGCCTTCCCTGCACCTCCAGGATCAGTACCTGCTGAGACAGGAGTCTGATGCCCTAAACAGCAGAGAAACCCAGTACCAATCTGCCCCAACTCAGGACACTGCCATCATCAGGGTGAGCAGGATTCAAGTATGTCAAATAACAAGGAACAGTCAGCTGCAACCCTCGAGCATCTTTTAGCTGAGGTTGTTCTCCTCAGTACCAAAGATTTTCTTCAGCTTTCCCATTGTGACTACTCCAGTAATTCACACATCTCTTCAAACAGGGGAGACAACCTCACGCCTAAAAGCCTGGGACTTGTCCTCCACAGCCGCTGCTCATCTTGTGTTAAGTCACCAGAAGTTTAAAGAAAGAATTCAGCCGGTCCAATTGCTCAGATGTTTCCTCCACAGGAGGAAAAAAAAAAAAAAAAAAGCCTATGGTGTAAATATATCCCACTGCAGCTCAGCATCTCCCCTCCATTAGGGATAGATCATGAGTCGCAGAAGATCCCTGCCAAAACAGCAGTATTTGGAATAGTTACAATTGTTAATGTACATCCTCTGCGATAACTTCACAACATCAGGAAAACACAATTCAGCACAGCTGGCACAGAGGGGGCCAGCAAAGGAACTTCATTCCTGGAGGACACGACTTTTAAACAGAAGCTGTTCCAAGAGGCCGCCATCCCAGCCTCACCTACTGGTCCCCACCACCACACTGCTGGAAAGTGAGAACACGAAGCAGCAGTGCGGGGTGTGCTGAAGGCAAAGCACGGAGCAAAGCGCCCCGCACAAGGCGAACAGCACTCACAGCACTGCGCCTCCGCGCTGCAGTCCCACAGCGGTGAGCACCTCCCTGTCCTACGGGGATGCTGCGGCAGGAGCAAGGTTCTGCCCCAAAAGGCAGAGCTTTTTCTTTTCTTTATTTAAAAGGTGCTGCTGGAGGTAGAAACACATGAAAGTCTGTGTAGGACAAGGGAAGGAATTATCCCTCCCATTGATTTTCGCTCTGGGGTATTAGAAAGAACACAGCATTTATCTGGAGATTTCTTCCCAAAGCTAACTACGGACTTTCAAACGTAAATGAGACTTGAAAGGGGCTTATCGGGCGAGCGATCTGCCGCAACCATCATCGCCGAAAGTGGGAGCCCCGGCGGGGAGCTCTGTGATGCCATTGTTCCTCTCCGGACATCTGAAAGCTGCCATTATTGTCCCCGACTTCAAACAGCAGCCAAGAGGGCACGGCCGAGGGACGACGACCGAGCAGGAGCCGCAGGACAGGGCGCTTTCCCGCACACCTTCTTCCCCTCCCGAAACCGTCGCTCCCGTCTCCCCGCCCTCGGCGGATCCCCTCGGCTCGCCCCGCGCCGGGCCGCCACGGGAGCGGGAGGAGACGGGCGGGGAACCCGGAGGTGGCGACGCCCGGCTCTGGCTGGCCGTGACCCCACAGCACCTCCGTGGCTCCGCCCCGGGCACAAAGCGCAGCGCCCCGTGCCGCGCAGCGCGAGGCCCCGGAGCCGGGCTGCCCCCGGCGGCAGGTAGGTGGGAGCCTGTAATTGGTGAGGCAGCAGATTAGAAATATCGGCAGCCTCTAAGTAAGACTTTAATTTACTGGCAGATCAATAGCGCTAGGGTTATATTGGCAAAGTGTCTACAACTCTATTGACTCACGCAATTCCTCTTATCAATTTATCAGAAATCTGGAAGCCAGAAGATATTGTTCGAAGAAAAAAGGCAGCAGGAGTTTGAACGCTTAGCATGGGCTGCCCAATCAGGCTCTCAGCGCTAAGCATTTTACAGCAGATGTATCTGCTGCAAAGGAGGCTAATATATGATATGATTAAGAGCTAACTTGCCTCCCCACATGCCACGCAGCCTTTTCAAGCCGCTCCTCACCTCAGACCTTTGCACTGCACACATCACTACAACACAAGCAGTGCCAGCAGCCCCGATGGAATGTGGAAAACCGGCACTCTGCATCACAAGGTCCTAAATTCGGACCAGCCGTCCAACCGCAGCCAGGCTGAACTCTTTCCCATAAAAGGAGCCTTACGGGACTTTCTCCAGCACTGAGCATCTGCTCACAGAGATTCCAGAAAAATCACTCCTTCCACACTTACGTAGAAAATGAGGAGAGGGCAGGTATACCCTCAAACCTTACTTCCCACCCTCAGACGAAGAACTCGACGCACGGGGCCCATTCTTTTACCCCACAGGCTGCCTCAGCAGGAGTGTGGCTGAGCCAAGGATGCGGGCCGGGCTGCTCTGCTGGGGAGCAGGGAAGGAGCCGGGGGGAAAGACCACACACCTCCTCTAGCTGCTGTGCCCCTCTGCATCCCCCGGACATCCTGTGCTGTCACCACAGTGAGGCAGGGTACTCTGCTGCATCGCACTTAGAAACCAACCCAAATGAACCCCCAAGTTCTGTCACCAGGAGAGCAGCGCGCCCCAGCCCACCGTGCTTAGGGCACGTAGGGGCACTCCCTGGAGCAGGGTCACACAGCCACCCCTGCAGGGCAGCCCCGTTCCTGGCAAGTTACAGACCGGGTGTTTAGCATCAGAACGAGCCCCTGGTGGCCTCCTTCATCCTATTCACAGCCACACTTGGTCTTTAACCGGGGCAACCCGATGCCAGAAAGAGAGCAGCAGAACTGTTTGCATTTGCTCAGTGTTACCATGAGCAAACTCGGGCACCAGGCACTGCTCCGGGCCCTGTGCACAGCTCACTGCTGTCCTGTGCCCTAACAACGGTGCCTGCCGCTGGGGCAGGGCAGGCCACTGTGGAAACACGAGTCTCCTCTCGGCCACATCCAGCCATGCCACAGCACATCTGTGAACATGGAGGAAGGATGGGGGCTGTCCTCGCAATCCCACAGGCCACAGCGCTGCGGAGCATCCATTCTCCAGGCGGATGCCCAGGTCCTGCTGCCAGGGCCCACGTGGAGGGCAGGGAGCCTCCGGCCAACTGCCGGCCCCGGCACGACAGTGCTGCGTCCGCACTGCACCCGCGCAGGACAGTGCCTCGGCCACATCTCCATCATCACGGAGAGAGGAAACAGGTTGAGCTGCCCTGGAAAGCGGCTCACATAGCAGGTCCTGGGGCGTGGCCTGCAGCTCCTGCCTGCGCACGGCCCGGCCCGGATGCACCCCGCAAGAGACCGGTTCAGCTGTAAATAAAGCTTCAACTTGATTGGAGACCGTCCCAATTGCTTAATGGCCCTCCTCTATTTAAATGCAGATTTGAACTTTTCACCCAGGGTCAGGCAGATGGGAGCCCGCCCGGCCCCAGCAGGGTCCAGGCGCCAGGCCCGCTCTGCCGCAGCGGGCAGCCCGACTCCCACCGCAAGGTGCAGCGGGGCCTGGGCGGCCGCCGCCTCTATGGGGAACCGCATCCGGAGGGCAACGGCGACTGCCCCAATGGAGTGCGGTCAGCGCTCAGCAGAAGGCAGAGCTGAGGCAAACCCCTCCGGAGCAGAAATAGGACCGTCGACACAGGCCCCACAGCCACAGTTCAGCCAGGATATCGCAACCCACGGCATCGCCCGGAGCTTCCTCCTCCAGCTCTGTGACAGGTGAGCCTGCCCGGCACACGACACCGGCACAGGCTGCTGCCAGCCCCGTCTCGCCGTGCTGCTGCGTGCCAGCACACCCACCCTCACACCGACCAGGATGCAAAGAAATGAAACCCATGGAAATGCCAACCAGGGGGAGAAGAGCAGGGTAAAGTCAGCGCGTTCCGGAAGTACACACATGTACCATTCATTACAGATGCTGAGTAACAACATCCCGATCTGTACTTTTCAGGGAAAACACCTCTGAGCTGGACTGCAGGATGAGCTCCAGTGCTGTGGAGCCCTTCCCAAGAAGGCCTCCACTAAGTTGCTGCTTTCCTTACTCCTGACACAAAGCTCTTCCATGCAGGTCCTCTGAGCACCAAAGCTGGCAGATGGGTGGGACACAGATGTGGCCCTGCAGCCCGGGGTAGGCACAGTGAGCACCAGGATTGCTCAACTCCTCTTGTTAAGCTCACAACTCACAGGTGCTGTCTTAGCTATCACCCAGTGCACGCCTCTGCTGTCCTCTGCTCTCACCCGGCCAACCAGAGGCAGGCGGCCACCAGACCTGCCCAAGGACACAGCAAAGCCACCAGCACAGCACAAAACCAAGCACTGCCCTGCATTCCCTTAGCCATGTCAGCAGGGTTTACCCCATTCTGGAGTGAACGCCAG